ATAATAGTTAAAAAAAATCGCTGGTAATAATTTTGATTGGCTGGTGTTTCAAAAAACTTAACCCAGCCGCTGGGGAGCAGTGCCCTCCCCTGGGGGTACACTGTTCCCCGGTGCCGGTCCCAAGCCCGGAGAAATGGGGAGGGTTGCGTCAGGAAGGGCAGCCGGCGTAAAACTTTTGCCAAGACGGACATGCGAGTTGATAGGGCGGTTTGCAGGGACGGATGGGAATTAATGACTCGCTGTGGCGACCCCTGAAAAGGGACGTGCCGAAAGGAGAAGAAGAGGTGTTTCAAAAAACTTAATTTCGAACCCTGGTTACAGCCTGTTTCTTTGGACAAACAAGTCAGGAAATAATACATTCCAAAAATATAAATAAATTGAAAAGTGACTTCGCCAAAATATAGTGTGCCTTGAAATGTTTTTCACTTTGACTATGGGACTTTGAGGTACATCCCTACTTTCCTAGCTCAGCATGGTTCCTGTAGGAGATTATGTTTGTGTTTGCACATTCAGTACTTTAATCCTGTTTTTGTTGTAATTTGTAAAAAAAAATAAATAAATAAAATAAAAAAAAAATAATAATAATAATAATAATAATCATCATCATATCCACTCAACAACTTTTTCCTCATATTTTTCATATTGTAGGGAGAGAGCGCCACCTGGATATTAGTGTGAATGGAATGGGTGCAAACATTGGATGGAAAAAAAATTATGAAGTGGTTCAATTTTTTGGAACAATAAGCTCAGTTTAAAAAGAAAATCAATTATGAACAACTATGAAACGAATTAGTTCATTTTAAAATTTGAGAGCTGAACTTTATAGTTTGCAACGTGAATCATCTCTCCCAACACTGGCCATGGGCCACACAGTTTAGTGCGCAGTCAACCAGTCCTTTGATGTGTACAGTATGTGAGGCTTGCACAAGATAGGCAACAGTCACATGGTAGGCACACCCTGTTCTAAAAAAAATGTTTGGAGACTTGAGTTCATGCTAATGATCACGCTTAGAGAGTAATGGAATACATGCACGGCATTGTGTAAAAAGGCTCATGTATTCTGCTACAGGTAAAATTAAAAAAAAAAAAAAACAATCAGATTAGAAGGAACATTTAGTGACCAACGAGATTATTTTGCATGATGACAATTTTAACGCAGTAAGAGACTGTTGAGTCTTCAGTCGCTTTCAAGATAGCAAGCAGCGCGACAAGTCGATAGGTTATCACAATGTAGCTCAGTGGGCCACTGTGACGCCATTTGCACAGTCGTACCCGCAAACAAACCAGAGATCATTTCCGCACTTTGGGCAACAGGAGTAAAGTTATGTTGATGAGAAAAGCCCAACAGGATAAAGTTGCTCCCTTTATGAGGAGAGGCATATTGAAACATTTACAAACAAAAGTGCGAATTGTCAGAGTTGTCCAGACTGCGAGGGCGATGCTAGCTAGCTTGCTGGCAAGCAGCACACCGCTGAAGTCCGACAGGTGTTTTACCTCCTGTCACAAGTTACACAATTACTAATTTAAACGTTTCATACACCCTGTAACCAGATAACTGTCAACTGTATTAACCGCTGTCCCTGAAAGGGCTAAAACATATTAAGATAACACACATATCATCAGTATTGGCTCATAATGTGTATGTCTGCTTGTGTGTTAATTCACTGCAACCTTGATGAGGAGAGGCTCTTGACAGGCCAATGACCAGAAATGTGCCGGAGGAACTACAGTAAATCAAAGTAATCGTTGAAGTAAAGATCCCAATTAGGGCCGTGAGCGAACTGGAGCCTTTCCCATTTGACTTTGGTCATTCTTGGACTCATTTTATTGTCTATTTGTTTGTGCTCAACCAACATAATGACTACGGATTGTCATAGTTCCAGCATATTTTTGGCAGAGAAGCTCATGATGTCAACTGGAGTTGTGCCTCTCCCAGACCTGTGAGTGATGCAAGCAGCTCAACTGGTTCTCTGCTCCCATATCCATTGTTCGGTGTAGTCTTGGTCTCATGACATCAAAATGTGAACAACAGCTCTAATTGAACTAAGATATTTATTGGTCGATTCAAGGGTCAAACGCCTGTTGTGAATTTTGCCATTCAGCTTCTCACGAGGAGCAACTTGTGCCAAAAGTACTCAAACATTTAACAGTTGGACATGTGCATTTAAAAGCTTCGAGAAGATCAAATCAAGTTTACCTGTAAAGGTTTGAATCCATTTTCGTCTCGCCCTGAAATTTCATCTGAAAGCAAAATATCCCAAATTTTTTGTGAGTCATGTACGTCGTTAAAAGGAACAAGCCTTTCAAGTTATAACTTATAATTGGGTTGACAAGGGTATAATTTTTAGAAAGGATCTGATTATTATTATTATTTTTTTTATAAAGGATCACCCAGGATCATGCTGTCAGCCTAATTAACAAGCAATTAGAGGGACACAGACAAACAAGATGGAGGACATGATGGTAAAGTGTGCATATGCCTCTAATAGTGAGAGCTACTTAATGTGCCCTGATTGTGCGAAGGGCTATCAAATTGATACACGTCTGAAATAACATTTGTACAAATTACATTTAATACTATTAGAATGTGTTATTTTCAATCCTTAATGATTTTAATTTGCAGGCTCTGATCATCTTAAAGATGCCTCACAATACTGCCCGGATTTGCATTTTTAAATCATAATTTCTACTAGCAAATCACTATCCGAGCACTGGCGGTGTCATGATTCGGTTTGGGACCAAGAGGTGGCACTGTAGGGCGGCAGCTGCACACCTGTTGGTCATTAGGTAATTAGTGCTTTAAAAGGACTCCCAGCCCGACCACTCATTGTTGGGTCATTGTTGCTGTTTGTTGGCTGCTGTCATGTTTGTTTCAGTCAGGTTTTGGTCATTGTTATGTTTTATCTTCGGTCATGTGTTTTGTTTGATACTTTGGACTTTGTTTGTTTTGGATTTAGTTTTTTGAGTTTTAATACAATCTTTCAAGTACACCCTGCTCCTCCCTCCTGCCTGCTTTTTTGGGGTCCACCACCACCTCGCTATGTGACAGGCGGGCTATTGGTGTAGTACTCACGGGCTACCTGGTGCCCGCGGGCACCACGTTGGTGACCCATGCTATAAGACAAGTTTTCTCTTGGAGGAGACCAAATAAAGTCAACTTCAATTAACTCAAAAGGGCAATTAATATGTCATGATGCTCTTCTTGTGTTTCTCTCACAGCGTTCATATCTGCTGCTAAGTGAGGTACACCCTGAACAGGTTGTCAGATAATCGCAGGGCACCTATAGACACACAACGATCCGCACTCACACGCAGGGACAATTTTGAGTGTTCCATTAACCTGCCATGCATGTTTTTGGAATGTGTCTGCTTATCCATGCACAGGCGGCCAAAGTTTATTTCCACATACTGGGGCAAAATAAAATAAGGACAAAAAAAATGCCCTGAAACACTTGAAACGCGCCACTGGTCACCCACCCCAACCACACGTACTGCATTTCAACGCGCTGGCACCCACAGGGAGGTGTGGGTGGGTTGATTTATTAAATACGAACAGCCCAATCCCACACTCAGCGACAACAACATCATCCGCTTTGGCCTGTCAGCTTTGACAAGCTGGTCTTGCTCAAAAGGAACATGTCCCTATTGGGGTAGCCTACCTCCAAGGGGCAGCCTGAGAAACAGCAGTGGGCTGAACACACACACACATAAAAAAAGTGTTTTTTGTGTGTGTAAAGTTATTCACGCTGTTTATAAGTTATAGTTTTTATGTGTAAAGTGGTCCAATAGCAATAAATTGTGCTGTTTGTTTTCTACTGCTGATATTAAAGTAGTGGAGGTTTGAATAGGGATTCAAGTGGCCCTGAGCCTCTCTTCCACGGCGTCATTCACGGATGCTTTTTTTGGGGGGGCGGGGTCGGGGGTGGATGTAAGAACGCAAGTGCTTTAAAGGGAAGTGGTCTGACGGCGTTGGAGGATGATTATTTTATGAATAAGGATGGAGGGGGCGGTCAGGTGACCCGATGGCGCATTGACTTCACAGTGCAGAGGTCGCGGGTTCGATCCCAGCTCCGGCCTTCCTGTGTGGAGTTTGCATGTTCTCCCAGTGCCTGCATGGGTTTTCTCCGGGTACTCTGGTTTCTATCCCACATTCCAAAAACATGCATGGCAGGCTGATTGAGCACACTAAATTGTCCCTGGGTGTGAGTGAGAGAACAGATAGTTCATCTCTATGTGCGCTGTGATTGGCTGGCAACCGGTTCAGGGTGTCCCCCGCCTACTGCCCGAAGACAGCTGGGATAGGCTCCGGCACCCCACGCGACCCTTGTGAGGATAAAGCAGATCGGAAAATGGATGGATGGATGGGTGGACAATGACGGAAGGGTGCCCAGGTTTCGGAGGGAGGACAGACCATCAAAATGTACATATGTATTTGTAACGTGCCCATTCAGTACGGTCCGCTTGAAGCAACCCCTGTGTATATTCACCCCCGCGACAAAACACACGAGACGCGTTTCCATCAGTTGTCAGCAAAACACGAGTTAGTGATGGGCTAAGGTCCGTCAGCACTGACCCAGTTAGTGATGATTCTGGTGACGGACGAACGCTTTCGTCTGTGATTAACACGTCAGGCTTCAGTCAATACTGACAGAATGCCCACCTCTGGCCGTTTCATAAGCACCTTGTCACAACAGGGTTGCATTCGTGATTATTTTGCAGATAAATTCTCCCAAGCTACATCCCAATCGCTTTATCAACACACTTCAACATAATCTTTTTTTTATCAATCAAGTCACTCATGTGACTCGCAGTTGTTTGACCAGCCAGGTGTCACTAAAATAGTATGCATTGAAGGAGCACTGAAGTGAAGATGAATATTTCAGTTCATCATTGAAAAAAATAAAACAAAGGAAAAACACAACTGAATATACATTTATTTTTTTGCTTTGTGTGTGTTCAGTAAACTGACTAAAAATGGCAAACAAAACACAAATACATCCGTCTATTAACAGAGATCACAATGTCAAAACTGATTCATGACAGGAGTATGCAGGTGTAAACCTGTCACAAGATTTAAAAATAAAAATGACACACACACACAAAATTGGCTGAAAAATTCAACATGCCTTTTTTTGCAGTTACAAATTCAAAAAAAAAATTGAGAAATCATAAGCACCCTACTCATCCTTGGTCCTGATGATGTTTAAGTGATGAACTTGTTGCCAGGGTTCAGTGTGGACTTCTGGGCAGTTTCAGCTTTAATGGCTGCAATGTTTGGATGCATAAAAATATATTTCTGCAACGCCCTCAGATGGTGACAAAAAAGAGCTAACAACGCCCTCAGATGGTGACAAAAAAAGAGCTAATATAGGAAAAACTATTTAGTTGTGTATTATGTATATAAAGTGGCACTTTCCATGTCTTGGATTGAAAATGCCCAACCTGAGGATGCTTAATCACAAACAAAATACGCTACTCTACAGGGGAAAGTAACAAAGGCAACACCGTTGCAATGCGGTAGCTAGTTAACCCCGAAGAAGAGGTTTTGAGGACGGATTTAAAAAAAAATAATCAGAGTAAGTACACACAATTTTCCTTCTGCAATTAAAACGGTATAACAACACATTACTGTAATACAGAAATAATGTAGTGACTAACAGTCCAAATCTGTTGCGAATCCAGGTCTTTGACTTAGAAAGAAGCAATCGGCGTCTTTTGCAAGTTTTGCATTGCCTGGTTACAGGGTGGGGGCTGGATGGAGTTGGACAGGAAGAGCTTCGACGCCACGACCAACGTGCCGCGCCACTGTCACTATGATATGGTGGAGCATGGGAGGATCTGGAAGAGAAAACATCAATTACATCCCACACCAACACAAGAGTGTGTGTCTCTCTCTCTCTCTCTCTCTCTCTCATGCGCTCGCGCACACGCACACGCGCACACGCACACGCGCGCACACACACACACACAGTACAGCGTGTACTTGAGAGTGTGGCATCATTTTGTCTGTTCACGACCTTCACTCCTGCCCTCTGGTGGCTGTTTACTGATGCCCCAAAAAAGAAGGGCTTTTTATTTTTTCACTGATGTCAGGCAGAATCCTTGTATTATAATAACCATCACTTTTCTAAATAAATAAAGAAAGAAAGAAAGAAAGAAAGAAAGAAAGAAAGACAGAAAAAATAAAAAAGTCTATTGAGCAATTTACATGGCACAGTCTAAGAGAGCAAGCTATATTCAATAAACTAACTAACAAAAATAACGTATGTTATTGATTCTTGATTTGATATTGACATTAGTGATATTGATATTACTGTTATTATATATTCCGGAGATGAAACGGAGGATCTCAAGGCTGATCCTCATCGTCAAACTTTCTGAACATGACACTCCCTTCTTGGGTCCTGACTTATAGGAATGGCCTCCAATTTTGATACACACAAAAAATGCTTACATTAAGCTTTAATTCTATTTTATCAATAATGTTCATCTTTTGGGAAGACGCTACTCATGTTAATTTCTTACAATGTTCGACAATTATTAAACAAAGTCGGAAACGGTAATATCAATAGCAAACTTTTTCTACATCTCTCCATGTGTTTACACATGATCACTTTTTTTTTCCTTTCCTTGGAAATCCCATGAACCCTGTCGTCTGAACATTGCTGAACTCAAGCTAATGTTATTGCTTAAATACATGGAGTGTTTTTGTTGGAAGTGGCATAAATGTGATTATGCAACATGCTCAGCTTAGGTTTTTATCCAACAAGAGACAAAGATGATGCAACAAGCTCATTTGCAGGACAAGTTGGAGGAGTGATGAGGAGCTTACCATGAATCTGGCTCACTGCGTTGCTCATTTTCTTCCTGAGTGGCCGCTCTTCTCGATTGACATTCTTCCTCTATACACAGATAAACTGACATTAGTTTGCACAATTCCTATTTAAAAAAATGTCATTAGTTCTTAGTACGACAAAGCCCATAGATTTACAACTATAACACATCAGTTGAAGAAGAAGAGTTCTATTTTCATTGACCAACTTCACGACCATTTTGCTGACGATGAACGAATCACGGGAAACTGAAAAAAAAAAAGGGGAAGGAGCCAGGGGTTCTCTTGCAGGGAAAGGAGGCCGAGCTGGTACGCGAGGGAGAGAAGTTCCGACTTGACATGGACGGGACTTGTCTCCACACATAGCCTGGGCTCTGCTACCAGTTCTCTCGAGAAGGGTTGGACTCTCTTTCACTCTGGAGTTGCCCACGGTGAGAGGGGCAGAGCAAATGTGGGCATACTCATACACATTGTACATTGGGGTGCACACCGGGTAGCCTCCCTCAGCCTTCGGGTGGGGGAGCGGGTCGTGACTGTTGCTTGTGTCTATGCACCAAACAACAGATCAGAGTACCCACCCTTTTTGGAGTCCTTGGAGGGTCCCTGTGGGGACTCCATCGTTTTGCTGGGGGACTTCAATGCTCACGGGGGCAATGACAGTGAGACCTGATCAGAACTTGAGCGGTGTTCTATTATTGGACTTTTCTGCTCGTCAAAGATTGCCCATAACAAACACCATGTTCAAATATAAGGGTGTCCATATGTGAGCTTGGTACCAGGACACCCTTGGCTTCAGTTTGATGATTGACTTTGTGGTTGTATCATCAGATTTGCGGCCAGTGGTTTAAAAACTTAAATGCATCATATGACATACATTTCCCATATCTTGTATAACACTGTCCTTTCTTCCTTCTCTAAGAGACTCAATAAGCCAAAAAAAAAGTGCAAACCAGGGTGCTTGACCGAGACCATATGGCCACTCAGGCATCCTCATTTCTAAATTGTGTGCTTAAAAAAGAGAGATTGCATCGGTGCAAGCAGCCATTCAAATGGCGGGGGGAGAAAGGTATTTGTGACTCTCTATAAACCTTTGTACCAAATGTTGATTATTTGCTGAAGTGCCATTTTTGTGAACATAGCCCGAGTCTGTTCCACTTTTAATACAATTTTCAATATTTCAATGCCAATATTCAGTGTCTTGATCATAAAGTTGTTTGCTCTTAAAAAAGGACATACACAATTTAAGATGCTCGATCCTAACATCAGCAACTAAATAAAACCTAAAATTGCTCATATTTTTTGGTGTAATATATTGTTCTAAAAAGTGTGATGGGACAGGACTAGGTGAGTGACCTCCCCCCATCGAATAGAGTTGAAATAACTGCAGATAAAACGATTAAGAATGACTGACAAATTCCATACCGTTAAGGCTTGTTTTAAAAAAAAAAAAAATGCAGCAAACCTATAAAACTGTGATGTTGAATGCGATGCAATGGAAAATTTGGGTGCACCTATCCTTTTGTGCAACAAAGAAAGAGAGTTGGGCGCCCCGATGCAAAAATTCTCGAACCCTGCAAACACGACACAGCCACCTGTGGCCTTCAGGTACCTCCGTGAGATACAGGCAGAGGCCTCTCTTCTCCCCTCCAGTGTTAAAAACTGTGAATTTGCTTCCGAAAAGAGTGAAGCCATTTTTGTTTATTAAAAGGGAAGTCAACCCCGAAGTATCCATTATCGTAATTCGTTCCACTAGTTGAAAGACGGCATTCATTAATAAGAATGCATTTGTGTAATATGAGTTAAGCAGCAAAATCCACTCATTTCTGGCCATCTCAGGTGGACATTTTGCCACTGTATCAACTGAAAAATACATCACAGTTGCTCAGGTCACGACCAATCAGGGCTCACCTGTTTTCTGAAGCTGAGACATGATTGGTTATTACCTGAGCAACTGTGATGTCATTTTACACAAATGCAACATTTATCAAAATGCCGTGTTTAGACTAGTAGGGCTGCATAAAACCTCTGTGACAAAGGTTTTTGAGTTGACGTCCCCTTTCAGAGGATAAATACTTGGATCCTTCGCCATCTCCTCAGACTAGTGCTGCGCGAGCAAGCGCTTGCGCATAAACTGACAAAATCTGCTTCGACGAGAGGTGCAACGTGTTCTGAGACAATGCAGAAAGTCCTGTAAAAACTGATAAAATGCCCTGAGAATACAATAACCGATGTGGATGAAAAGGTTCGCAAAACATTAGATCATTTTCTTACCACAGGGGTTTCCTTCCACATCGTCAAGAAGATTGGCTGTGGAATGAGCAGTGCCCAATCTGGTAAAGCTGAATTAAGAAAACTAGGTAAAGACAGTTCATTGTTATGCACGCGCTTCTACAATGTCTTGTACATAGCCATTTGGGAAGGACTGACAGACATTAAATTGCTGTAAATGCCAAAGTCTGAATGAATGAATTTTCTTGATGCACTGTCGCCTTTTTTGAGGGTACAATGTCTACTACACACAGACAAAATTGTTGGCAGCCTGCTGTTGGGCAACAAAGTCACACCAACTATTGTCACTGAATTAACCTGAAATTCACAAAGTAATATGATTGAAGGAAAATAAGACACATTACATTTTTGTGCTGAAAAGAAATTACTTGCAGGCGGTAAAAAAACATTGTCCTTGGGCAACTCTGAGCCAAAAAGAAGTCAGCAGGTTCTAGTGCACTCTCTAATCGGGCTCCAATACCCTGGAATGGCTTAACCACAGAAATTTGAGTGGCTGCCTTTGTAGGAATGTTTAAGTCTCAACATAAGACTTATTTGTTGGTCTGGTTAGCCCCCCAACCCCAATCCCAAATATCTGGAATTTGGTTCAGTTAGTATTCTTTGATTGACCAGGACAGGTCTTAAGGAGAACCAGTTCCTGGAGACATCTATCGGTGGCACGTCATTTCATTCTTTTTTCTCTCAAGCTGTTCTACCTAACATTGTACAGCATCATACCGTAAAATGTGATAAAGGTGTCCCGCTCAAAACTGGAAGGGGTGGGATTAGTCCATCTGATCGCTTCTAAAGTCCCTGGACCAGGGTATGTTGTTGATTAATGTGAACTATAGGCCTGTTAACCCCTAAGGGCTTCATTAATAAACTTGACATTTCTTTTGAAGCTTAATTTTTGCATCTGTATACATCAGGGGTGCCTAAGCTTTTTTGACTGAAGATCTACTTTTCGATCAACTGACCTCCAGAGATCGACCGCACACGCATGCCATGATGAACAACAGCCATAACGGCCCCGAAGATGAACGAAACAGAAAAAAAAAGTTGACAACAGTTCGTGAAAAGGAAACGCTGCATACCTTCGTCGAGACCTGACGCGGAGGCGTGAGGCACACTTTCTAGTGTGTTAGCTAGCTATTGGAGCTCACGTGTACCGTTTTAAAATGCTTCTCTCCGCCCTCCAGATTCCCATTCTCTGCCTGTGCTCTCGGTGAATTGTCCATGAAACAAACTGAATGAGAATAATAATAACAATAAAATATATAGCGCAACAGCTGGAATTCCAGCAATTCCAGCCAGCTGACCGCTAACAACTTCCGGTGATGCAGGTCATGCGCCACCATAGGTTAAAGGTGACCTGCTTTTTTTTTTAATTTTTTTTTATTTTTTAGAATTTTTGTGAAAATGAGACTGATAGGATGCTAAGGGTGCAGTGTGCACTAACACAAAAATATATCATATTAATAACACACAATTTAAGTCTCATTTTCAAGTTGCTGTTTTTTTTTGTTGTTTTTTTAAACAGATGGATGCCAACAATTTTGTTCATGTGTATACATGCACATATGCTGTATTAAAACTCAGGATACGAATGATGCTTCAGAAGTGTTCTCCTTTTCGACTTCCTTCTTTTTGTCTTTTCTGAAAATGTTTTGGCAATTTCAAAAAGCTTCTTTCTTGTCGCTGAAAACAGACAAATTCATTTGGTTAAACGTGAATTCGAAAATAAATGTAGGTAGCGTTTAAAATAGGAGACTTACATTTGCCCATATGTTTGAGTTTGTCTCTAAACAGCGCGTCTTCTGACACAGCCTCCGGTGAAGGTGCAGAGAAAGATTCTAGGGCACAATGACAACAGGAACACTGACTGTAATCATACCGTATCTACTGTAGATCGATATAGAATCGTGTGAGGGCAATTAACCAATTAATCAACAAATCACATTGGACACGAGCATTCTATTCAATGCATAATGTGATGGCTTGATGGTGCCCATTCAGCGAATGATATCTACCTGTGCAATTCTCCGAGCTCGATGAATGACTGCACTTTGATCTCTTTGATTCGTATTTCAAGCGATCTAAAAAAGGAGCAGATGTTAGTTAGGATCATTGACATCATCATGAACCAAAAAGGGATGAGTCCTAGCACAAAACAACATGTTGTGGGTGGATTGACACAAGTGCTTGAGTTGCCGCCTGCCGACTCGAAGAATTTGGCTTCCATCTTGAGTGATCACGTTGACCTGTCCTTGAGCAATATACTCAACACCCAGTTGCTCGTGATGTTGCGTCATCATCAGGAGACAGTGGTAAAGCGCTTTTAGTATACAGTACCGTGAAGGTAGAAAAGTGCTATCCAAGTGAAAGCACTTTCATATCATATTCACAAGTGTCATGTTAATTACACAGTGTCACAAGCATAAAGAGCGCAAGAGATTGTCATGATCTTATCAAGGTAGTCAATGTAAAAAAATAAATAAATAAAAATCTGAAATACTGCATTTTGTTTTTTAACCCTTTCAGGGACAGCGGTGACTACAGTGGACATCTTATCAGGTTTCAGGGTGCATTAAAGGGGTTAAACTTGACGACCATCATTAGTTATTGCCAAGTATATATTTTTAAGGTGGCATGCATCTCTGGAAGGCTTCCTTAAAACCCATGTTTTGTGCGTAGCTGTAGTTTTGTTAATACTTTTATACTTTTTGTTCCTAGTTGGGAATCAATATTCATATATGAACTCAAGCCAAGGAAAATGTTGTCATCATGTATTCCCTTTTTGCCATTCCTTTATTTAATATACAACTTTTCGTTACTTCACTGTGTTTACAATTGCTTTGTGATTAAGAATTTATGTTTTACAAATGTTATAAAGTAAACAAAATTGAGTACTATTACAGAGTAACAGTGTTCCACAATTATTTTCAGGTTTGGTTTCAATTCAATTGTGGTTCCTCTAAGTAACTTGTTCTTATCCTCAATGAGAGAGCTCAAATGTGTTGTCTCTTGTTTTAAATGTTGGGAAAGTACCTCAAAATAAGTTAGTCTTTTCCCCTCACAATCCAGCAACCATTTTAATATACACTACCATCAACAATGCAACAGAAAATATTTAGCGACTACCAAACTCAATACTTTATGGTCGTTACACTGCTTGTATAGTAAATTATACACTGAAAAGTAACAATTTTTGTAAAAATTCTTCTCAGATCCCCCAAAAGTTTTCAATGATGTTGAACACTGAGTATGAGAGAAGTGTATCATTATATACAAATCCACAATGTCCAGGCTGAAATACAAACATAGTGAGCAGAACAGGTGGCCTTGAATGAGTGAAAGACATGTACCGGTATCACTGTTTAGGGTTGGGCATCACTTGACGCCTTGTTTCAATTCCAGTTCCAAACTACTCTCAATTTGGATTATTTTAGGAGGCAAGGGAAAAAAACGGATCCATGATTTAAACCGGTGATGTCTACACAACTGCCTTCCATTTTTTTTTTCGTGGCCCGCGACAGACTAAAATAAACATTTAACACGCAGTTCATTGTACCGGTACCAACTTTCTCCACATTGTGGTTAGGCAGGAATAATACACCCACACTTGCTACTGGTTCTCCTTCGTTGGCATTGAAACTAGGAAACAAAATTTTAAAATAGAAAAGAATCAGAACGTTAGTGCCAGCGCCAATCAATTCTCGGGATCCGATGCACAACCCCACTTGTCTTGCCAATTATTAGACAATTATGGCTGTGTGTCAACTTATTTTCAGAAGACAGTAAATAGATACTGCAATACTAGATGGACTATTCTCAGTTACACTTTTCTACAGGACTGTCACTTGAGAAGAATAGAAGAACAGGCTTGCTGAAATGCGAGTGTGGCGTGTCTACGAAAAGCGTACCTCTCTCTAAGGCAACAAGAAACTCTCGGTTTCGCTGCAGTTCTCTCATGAACTCCTCGTTCTGTAGAAAAAGGGCAATACGCTCGTCTTCCAGATACTGCTTCAGTTTCTTGTCTTGCTCTGTTGCTACTGCCGTCAGATCTGGACGGCCAGTTGTGCCTGCAGCTCCAGATTGAGAACTTGACCGGGTTGTCCAATGACTCGAAGAGACTGAAGATGAGGATGGTGTGGATCCAAGCTGGGAGATATTGGCCTGAGTACTCTGTGGAAAAGACAAGTCATAAGCAATGAGTGGGCTTTGAAGTTCATTTTTGCTCAACAGTGCAAGGTTTTCGTGACTGGCAGCGCATTTGAAGCGTTCTAAGCAAAAATTTTGCTCCCTTGCCCATTCCGCCGACGAAGGCTGAAGTGAACTTTTGCCGGCGGCGGTGGGTTGACAACAGCCAATCTGCGGCAAGAACAGACTAAATATGTCCCAATCCTGTGCTAAACAAGCACACAGCCAAGAAAGTACATTTTAAAAAATCATGCACAGACACTACATTGTGAAATAAAAACAATTTGGGACAATATCATTGCGGTAGGGGTGCATGGTATAAATGGTACGGAGGCATTTAAAATTATACTGCTTTTGGATAGTACCGGTAATTGCAGCGCCACCGCTCGCCACATGGTGTTACTGTGTTTTAACGACAGTTGACATGGAGCAAGCTGGGGGAAACACCGAATGTAACGCCCATGGTGACCGTGAACTATGTCGACACGACGCTTGTCTCACGTGTGTTTGTACGTGGGGATGACTACACTGCGCGTTGCTTTGGGCAGACAAGAGGAGGGGCACTAAACAAGTTGTAAACAATTCAGCCCACTCACCCCAAGACACTCCATTTTCCTTGCTCCAAATTATCCTAGCCTGTTGCTCCGTTTTGTCTCTGTCACGCCCTATAAAGGAAGCTGGCTGTGTTGTTTACCTCTCAATCCAACAGACCACAATGATATTGTCCCACATTGTTTTTATTTTGCCACATGCACGTGTGATGTTTAGGAAAGAAAGAAAAAAAATGGTATACACACACATATATACATATACAGTATACACATACATATACATACATACATATATATATACATATATATACATATATATGTATATATACATATATATACATATATATATATACACATATATATATATATACACACATACACACATACGTATATATACATATACATACATATATATATATATATATATATATACACATATAAAATTTTAGATAGAATTTCTATCAATTATCAACGTTTTGGGGGTATTTTTTTCATGATTGTATGTGTGTAGTCGTCAAGGCATCAAAGAGGAGGAGAGAGGAGAGTACATTGAGCTCTCTCTGCTGTGTGCCTGCACAGATTAAAAGATAGTAATAAAAGACTATAAAGAAATAAAATAACTAATACCTACGAAAAAAAAACCCCAGCAAGCATGAATCATTTTAGGTGATGACATTGCCAGAGAGCGAGCTGTCAAAATGATGGCTTGGGGAGATCTTGTTAGTAGTTTCAGAATTTAGGTGGTCCTTGTATTTCAGACAGGAATGGTGCCCAGTCTTTTTGAGTCAGTTAGGGACTTCGGGCTACCATTACATTATACCAACAGTGCGCTCCTATAGGCTTACCGGCACCGGAAGCTTCGGTGCCTTTTAACACTAAACGCCAAAGTGCTGTGTGCATACAGCCCATTGTCCGTCCATCCATCCATCCATCCATTTTCTGATCCGCTTATGCTCACAAGGGTTGCGGGAGGTGCTGGAGCCTATCCCAGCCGTCTTTGGACAGTAGGCGTGGGACACCCTGAACCGGTTGTCAGCCAATCGCAGGGGACACAGAGACGAACAACCATCCACGCTCACACTTACACCTTGGGACAATTTGAGTGTCCAATCAGCCTGTCATGCATGTTTTTGGAATGTGGGAGGAAACCCGAGTACCCGGAGAAAACCCACGCAGGCCCGGGAAGAACACGCAAACTCCACACAGGGAGGCCCGAGCTGGAATTGAACCCGGTACCTCTGCACTGTGAGGTCAACGCGATAACCACCGGATCACCGGGCCACCCACAGCCCATTGTATGATGAATAAAGTTGTTTTTCACAGTTGTTGTGCGTGCATTACTGGACATAACATTTTGCCACTGAAGATGGAGTTTGACTTGGAACTGCTGCCCTCATTCCTCACTACCAGTGCCGTTCAAGATTGGTGGATATAAGAATAGCCGAAACTAACGAGGCTATTTGCAATTTTTAACCACATCCATCTTATTTTCATACTCTCAAAGCCACGCAGACGTTTGAAGACGTCAACCTTGTTGGCTTAAAATTCTCTCAAGAAAGAGATTCTTCAAGTGATCATAGTTAGCTGTAGATGTTCTACAAGAAAACTGGATCAAATGTTGTGGGCTTTGTTTCACTTACCTTTATACATTCTAATTGTTGAGGAAGGATTCTCAGGAAATCATCTGGGAGATTTCCAAGCAATGGAGGGTTCCAGTTCCGGAAGCTTTTGACCTTCTTGTGATCTGAAAGTGGCTGGGCTTCAAATCTATGAAGGGAGATGCCGTGGCAAGACATTACCTTTCCCCATTGAAATGAGTGGCAATGGAATTCATTTGTCCCACCCCAGCCCCACCAAAAAAAAAAAAAAAAAAACCCCAAAACAAAACAAAAAAAAAAACAAACAATTTAGATAAATAGCACTTTAAAAACATAAATTCAGAACAGAATTCAATACAATGTAAAGAATGAAACATTTTTTGCATCATGATTTCATGCTTCAACTGAATGGACAATATGTTGCTCCTTCTGGGGTGGACAGTGGCTTGCAAAAGTATGTGAACTTTTTGACCTTTTGCCACATTTCAGGCTTCAAAATATAAAATCGGAATTTAGTGTGTGAGGAATCAACACCACCATATATTTTTAACTTTTTGTGGAAATAAAAAAACTAAAAAGTCGGGCGTGGATTCTTTTTCGGCCCCTTTTCCCGTCAGTGCAGCCAACTCTCTCAAGCATGATTTCAGAATGATCCAATATGGACCTAAATGTTGAGGATGATAAACAGAGTCCACCTGCGTGTAATCTACTCTCAGTATAAATGCACCTGCTTGGTGATGGGCCCAGAGGTCTATTAAACGAATAATGGAGAGTAAACAGCATCACAAAGACCGAGGAACACACTAGGCACATCCGGGATAAAGTTAAAGAGAATTTAAAGCACAATTAGGATATAAAAAGATTTCAAACATCTCCCAGAGCCCTGTTCAAGCAATCATATTGAAATGGAAAGAGTATGACACAATTGCAAACCTACCAAGACTCGTCCATCTCTCTAAATTTTGTGACAGCTGCAGCTGTTGTCAAAGCGCTATATAAATAAAGATGTATTGTATTGTATTATACTTTCACAACGTCTGGAACTTGTCAAAGCACTGCACCATTCTTTCACTTTTCTTTGATTATAACTTTTAAAGAGCAAGAGAAGCAAAATCTAAATCACAATTTAAATTCCAATTAATCGTCAACCCCAATAGATGGCGCAACAAAGATATTAGGAGGAAATAGAAAGCAAAGATATCCAGACCAAATAAGCAAAATTTGATAATTTCCCAGTGCGTGCCTCTCTCTAACGGACCACTTCAAGCTTGGTCCACATGGCAATATTTTAAAATTGACAGTTGACTTCCGAAACCTGAGAGACCCCACACATGAAGAGAGAGAAAATAAACAAATAAATCACAGGTACAACAGCTTTGAAAATACAGTGTTTTGTGTGTAGCCACTCGGCAAAATCAACCCATCGCACACAAACCCGAATTGACTCACAAATATTCCAGGGTCAAACGGGAAATCTGGCAAAACTTCGAGATTAAATGTGACAAATTGAGATTGAATGGCCGGTCACCAGCTGCAGCTGCAAAACTGTCTGTGGCAAGTAGAAACTTTTGAACCAAGAACTCCCGCCTTACCTTAGTGGGGGTGTCGGAGGAGCTTCTGGGTATTTTCTGTCAAAAATGTGCATGTCATATGTAGGAGGTGAGTAAATTGGAGGTGGTTCCTCATCTGAACTGTCTGGTTCAAGCGTTCGCTCCAGAATCTAGAGAGGGAGGAAGGAAAAGAATACATATCACACACGTATGCTTCAATTCAATCTCTTCATGTCATTTTATGGTCTATATCCACTCCAGAAGGGATGGCAATACTTGTAAAATAATATCAATACTAATATGCATTGATGAGCTTGGACACTTTCCACTGACCTCCGGCGGGATACTGTCATCAGAGTCAGTGCTATCATCTGAAGCCTGTCCATCAATGCTCATCTGGAGAAGCTGGTCAATGGTGGCATCCACAGCTCCGTTATTGGAACGTAGCACACACTCGATGACCTCATAGTCCATTGTGGGGAACATGATCTTGAAGTCCTCCATGGCCTGGTTGAACTCCAGGCGGCGTACCTGGCGGTTGGGTCTGCTATTGTTAAGCTCGCCCTGTCCATCACTACCGCCACTGCTTCTTGATCCCCCATTACTACTGCTTCGTCGGAACAGACTGGTCATCGTCAGGTTCTCGACGACCTAATGCTAGGATGGCCTTTAGGCGTGTGATCTTTAGGTGTTCCTCGGTTCCCTCTTGATTTATCAGCTACTCATTCTATGATAAACATAGTAGTCAGTTCTGGGTCAACAGTGATCCTCTAGTACAGTTGGATTCAGTTGCCTTTGGCATGGCGCTGTCATGGGGGGTGAGGAGTGCATGTCAAGCCTCTTCTAGGTTTTAAGACCTACAATAGAGGGGAAAAAAGGATATTGTGTTACCTTGGTTCTTTTATTTTGCTCAGAAATCGTGTAGTTCCTTTTGACAGCTGTGCGATACCGGAGCTCAATTGCTGTGCAGTCCTGACCTTCAGTATGTATGTAACAAGATGTTCTTTCTAACAGCATCATTCTTCAGCCTAGTTGCACTGAAAACGTTTTTAATTGTAAAGAACACTATTTTTAAAAGTGGTTAAGGAAGGGAAGAGACACCCCTACTAATTAAGCAGGTTAAGCAAAATTAAAAACATTTATCGGTAATCTAAAAATTTACAGCTTGGAGCATCTGCTTTATTGTATACTTATATCCCAACTTCATTTAGTGTGGATAAAGTCGAATTTTACTGCGGAAAAATAAATTCACATTTAGATATAAAATAGCTGGGTCGTAACCTGACATTTCTTTGTCTGGTTTACATAAGCGATCCTTGACTCTTGTCTTCATTTGGTCACGTTTCAGTTTGGTGCAAATTACACAGACAGCAGGAAGATTAGGTGGCCCGGTACTGGTGACATGATTCACCTGAGAATTTACCTTTAAATTTGGGGTGAAAATGGTGAATAATCTCCTTGCTCAGCAATAGTCACTGCAGCTTCAACCTCATTCTGGCTGTACGCTACCTGACGTTTTTTTCAACTGCTATGATTGTTTTAGAGCAGGGGTGCCCATTACGTCGATCCTGATCTACCGGTAGATCTAAGACAGGTCCCAAGTAGATCCGAGGAGTGTCGAGGAGAAAAAAACCAAACAACCATTTGTGTGTCTTTGTACATGTTAGTAATGTATTTTTTGTGTTAATGTACGCTGCACCCTAATCATCCTATCAGTCTCATTTTCACAAAAAAAATATTTAAAAAATAAAATAAAGCAGGTAAATCTTGAATTTACGGTGGCGCGTGATTACGTCACCGGAAGTTGTTAGCGCTCTCAGCAGTCTGCAATTGCAGCTTGTGATCAGAGCTGTTGCGCTCTATCTTTTATTGTCATTATTCTCATTCAGAGTTTGCTTCGTGTACAATTCACCGAGGGCACGGGCAAAGAATAGGAATCTAGGAGGGCCCAGGGAAGCACTTTAAAACGGTACGTGTGAGCTACGATAGTTAACAGGCTGCAAACGTGCAGTGTGTGTGTGTGTGTGTGTGTGTGTGTGTGTGTGTGTGTGTGTGTGTGTGTGTGCGTGTGTGTGTGTGTGTGTGTGTGTGCGCGCGCGTGCGTCCAGGTAAGGGTAGATCCCGGGAGGTTAGTTGATCGAAAAGTAGATCTTCGGTCCAAAAAGTTTGGGCACCCCTGTTTTAGAGTCAAGAAACCACCCATAAAATGTGTCATGAAACCCTAAAGTTTGAATTTCATGGTCACTGCCTCAACAAGTAGTCCACTGGTACCCGCTGTCTTGGCAAGCAATGTTTCGGTCTGATCCAAACAGGTCAACCATTCACTGGTACAGTGACAACATTCCTCCCCGCGTAGAATTGAAAAAGCCTTCACTGTTTCGCCATCACCACATCCTTGGTAAATTATACAGAGCAACGTAAAAACAGGACAGATGTCGCCGCGACAACTGAGGCTGCCATGTTTGTTGCATACCTAATTTACATAAACGAGCCAATAATCGGATTGGACGACGTGCCGTCACATCACTGTAGCACTAAAAATTACATCGTCTCGGGGGCTGGAAGATAGCGATCTTTACTGTCAAATAACACAAGAACCGCAGAATTACGCGCGGTGGAATGCAGCAATAGTGACATTTCAATATGTTGTTGGCGCGCCGATGAGTGGAACGAAGGTGAACGATACACGGCCACCGCTGATGGTCTAGTTCAGGGGTCCCCAACCGCCGGGCCGCACAGAAAGAATAAATAACTTACATTCCTTCCGTTTTATTGATTTCGGAATCTGAAAGATGTTTTATTTTGAAAAATTACCGGATCCTCTGTTATATCAGTCTATAGTATGTCACTCTTGACGCAGATGAATGCACGCTTCTCGGTCACGTGATAGGAAATGAAACCCAGGAGCTAGCAAAATGAATAAAAAACAAACGTCTTTGAAAAGTTTTTTCGGAAGGGTTTGGAAAAGGCCCAGCCAGAAGGCAGAAGAGGAGCCTATGACTTTCAAGAAAGAGAAGGCCACATTTAATCGACAGTATCAGGAGTCCTGTTTCAAATATGTCTTTATCTCAACGGGGAGATTCACACGCACCAAGCCTACCTACTCTGCATAATAAGCGGCAATGGTGAGTTGTATTTTTTATGCACTTTTTATTTGCGGCGTATCTTATTTTGAAGGCACGTTTAAATGTTACCATAGCGACCAGAGAATGTTGCGGCCAGATAGGACGTTCCTCGTGTCATGATTCGTGTTTATTATTATGTTTCTGTCCGAGTTTTACTCGGACAAAGTTAAAGAAATGACTTGGCACACAGGGAAAATTGTCTTCATTATCGGCGGGAGGGATCTCTGAGGGCGAACGACGGTTATTGCCCGGGTTATCACGCTCAGAGTTCCCTGTCCGCCAGTTTGAACTTTTATTGTTTTACATATGCAAAATACAAGAAAAACACTGCCCCCGATATTTGCATACCACGCCCCCGGTCCGGCCCCTCGGTAGTGATTGGTTACCTTGGTTTAAGGTTTGAACTACGGTAAGTTGACGCCTTTCTGTCTGGTCTACAATGAATCAACAAGTTGCAGACTTTGCAGATGACAAATGTCCGCCTGGGCGCGACAGGCGTTCTCAAACCGTCTTTTGATGTTCAACAACGCTTTGTTCCTGAATTGTTTATTCCCACTTTGTGACCGAGTCTAGTCTTCTTCCCTCTGTTCACCCCCTTGCTTTGACGTGATAATTGTGGACTTCAAAAGCCCTCCGCCCAGACGGCCGACGCCTTTACGCACAGGCATTTGGGGGCGCTGGATACGCACCCAAACGTCTAGACGTGCCCAAATTAAGTGAAACTCTAAACATGATACAATTACATGCTCGTAGATTTCTCTATAAGTTTCGAAAATACCACACTTTTCACGCAGGTCATATATTGTTGTATCTATCCGGCCTTAAAGGCCCTGAAAATATTGTCTGACATGAAACCGATCTGTGGGGCAAAAAAAGGTTGGGGACCTCTGGTCTAGTTCACAGGTATCAAACTGAAGGCTTGGGAGCCAGATTCGGCCGACCGTGTCACTTTATGTGGCCCCGCTTAAGCAAATCATGGGTGACAACTTCCATGATGCTTGCTAAAATCTGTACCGAAATACCAAATTGTCATGTGTAATAAATAATGTTGCGATTTTGTAATAATTTTGCGACCCTGTTTACACTCACTTGAACAACAATAATTGAACAAACAACAAATAGTTGACTGTTTTCAAAACTAGTAGGCAGTCTTTTTTGTGTGTGTGTAAAAGTAATAATGTAATGTGATGATGAAACGTTAATTCGGTTTTTGTCATCACGGCCCTCCGAGGGAAGACGTAACTCCAAAGTGGCCCGTGACAAAAATGAGTTTGACACCCCTGGTTAACATCGATGGCTTTCATGACCACAATTTTGACATTCATACATAACTTGTGAAGACAACTTAGATGGAGATGCAAAGCCCACAGCAATACTACATCAGGGTAAAATGGGGACTGTTCAAAGCTTTATTAAAAACATCTTTGAAAGTTGGGCCAAATTTCATCAACCAGGTCTGTCTTTACACACACTACACAGTCGTCGGCTGTGAAACAACTCTGGTTGAACAAGAAAATAGTCACTTTTTAACTTTATTTCCACTTAAGTTCACAATAACAAGTTACCTGAATATTGACAATAAAGGAGGGGGCGGGGGCAATGAAAACACACCCCAAAAACACAAAACAATAACGATACACCTAACTTGTGTGTGAGAATTCAACATCACATATCTATGATATCAGTTGCCCTCGACAAAAACATGTCTGCAGAACAAGGATGATTCTGGCGTGATATACTGTACAACGCTTTGCTGCTGTGATTGTTGCTCATTGTTGCAACTCACTGCTAACAGGCTAACGGTAACGTCTCATCTTTTGGCAAACACTTTATCCTTGAAAATCGATATAAATGCCAGTAGTGGTCATGCCGAGGTTTTAAAGTTAAAGTTTTGAGAACATATCTGATTTCGATTGTAACTCGATCACCCCGAAGGCGAATTAGCTAGTTCATAGCATTCACTTTCAAAGGTCCCACGGATAATTGTCATCCACAAGGCCCGACTAACTTCCAGAAGCACCCAATCCAAATTGACTAAGCTTACATTTGTCATAGATCTAGGACATCTACAATACGACTGTCTTGCCACTCAGGAATTTCGATTTTTGCGTTTTTGCCCTGGTCCTTCAAGACAAAGAGAATAAATTCGGTATTTGGCACCACAGTACACATCTGATATAATGCATCAAACACCAGAACCTAAAGCGAAACAAGTATTTCAGGTTGGACATAATGCGGTTTGGCTACCGTTACTCACAGATTGGTTGCGTCTTGAGCAGAAAAGAAAGTATCCACAGAGTAGCGGAGTGTCCACAGAAGGGCCAGCTGTTGTAATGGGACGGTGGGCCGTATCATTGTACCGTAATGGGAAACACAAATATCCTGTCTCTCCTCCACGCTCTGAGCAATAAGCTACACCTCAGCTAGCAACCGGATGTGTCCATTTAACTCGGTGCACACAATGTAATATCTACACGCTGGAGAAAGTTCAGTGCCAATTTTCAATGGATTGTTTGCGCTGCGCATCTATTTAGACATGATTTGCATTACATAAATACGACTTGTTTAGTTCGTATTTTTTGCGTAGTTGTCGTTGCTTTCTGATGGTAAATTAATGAAAAACAAAGCAAGATTACAAGTGCAACAGATCGTCTTAATTTTTGTCCATTACATATGAAGTGTATGACGTAAAGTCCCGACATTCCATTTCTAATGTACAGTAATGTGCCAGAAGAACCTGCACTATGTCGGAAAAAAAATATCCCAGTTCATTGTTAACTTTTCAAATTAATATGTCCCCCATCGTACATTTATTACTGTTCTTGTTTTTTCCCCTTTGTCTTTAGTTCTGTTTTTAAAAGCTTTTAAAAGAAAATTTAATCATGTAAAGCTTAATACCGCGGCCAGGCCAGCCTCAACACAGAAAGCCGAAGTCAAACCAGCTACCACCGCGATTGTTTATACCGGGCATTACGGTAATCCGCCGCCAGCGAGCGGCGGTGGCCACCTTCTAAATAAGAGCTAACTAATACATTCACATAAATGGTTTGGATTTAAAATAATGTTATCAAATACGCAACCAGTTCACCTCCAGAGAAAGCGAACTGTATCAGGATTGCACCAAGAAACGTTCTGAAGTTGATAGAAAGAGAAGTTAATGTTAACTTTGCATCAGTGACTGAAAATATATCTGATAAAAAAAAAAAAAAACTTTAAAAATATATATATTTTTTGTTATCCCGCTGCCAGACCAATTCTAGGGCCCAGTAGGCCACCACAGGTATCCAACCAACATACTAATATTAAGATCTGACTCAGCATTTTAAAATGAAAGTCCTTCGACATCTGCAATTTTTACCTTTAAAAGAATAATTAAAAATGTAATTTTCTTTGTCCCTCAACCAGTTCAAGGGCACCGTGGGCCACCCTAGATATCCAACCAAAATACTTTCACTGAGATTTGATGTTGTATTTTAAAAGCATTCTGAAATGTGCAAATCTGACCTTAACTCTTGATTTTTTTTAAACATTAAAAGTCCATTTTCGTTATCCGACAACCAGACCAGTTCCAGGCCACACTCGTTCCCCCTCTCGTTATTTCAGAATAAAAGGCCTCTGAAGTCTGCAATTTTTACCTTTAACACCTGACTAAAACATAAAAAATCTATTTTTGTTATTCTGCAACCAGACCTGTTCTACAGTTAAAGAAACAACCTAAAACAATATTTATAAAGGCTTACTGTTGCTTAATTCATATGCCACAAACAATATTAATCAGAATGCCGTATTTAGACTCGTTGGCCTGCAATTAACTTCTTGTCAAGAAGATTTGGGGGTCAACATCCCCTTTAAAACTGTTTCTTTTGCAGCACGCTTCGGGTCATTGTCAATCTACATTGTGAAGTGTCGCCCCATGAATTTTGAAGCATTTGGCTAAATGAGTGGCAAACACTTCAGAATTAACTCTACTGTGTTTGTCATCAAGCCAAATCATTGTTAAATTAAAGAGATCCAGTTCAACTGGCAGCCACATGCCAACGCCACGACAATACTACCACCATGCTTCACTGATGTGGTGGTATGATTTGGATCTTGAGCAGTTCCTTCCCTTCTCCATTCTTTTCTTTCTATCGTTAAGGTACAAGTTGATCTTTTGTCTCATCTGTCCCTAAGATGTTCCAGAGCTGTTTTATATGTTTGTAGGCAAACTCTAATCTCACCTTCTTTTTGAGGCTCACCAATGGTTTGTTTACACCTTGTGATGATAAAACCTTTGTATTTCCTCTGTTTAAGTTTTTTTCCCTGAATTTTTTACTTTGACACTGATATACTCACCTCCTGGAGTGCTTTTGACCTGCCCAATTGTAGTGACGGGGCTTTTCTTGATGAGCGAAAGGATGCGTCTGCATAGATGTCAATGGCGAGTGATGAAAAAATCGGAAGGGGCGTGGCCTGGTCGGAGGCGTGGTTACTTACAAAAGTGGCACTAAGCATGCTGAAGATGAAGTGTATTGAATTTACACACTATTTGAAAATTGAACAGAAAAAAATCCCAAGATCGCCACTATTCTTTCAAGTGAAAATTTGTGCAATTTTGCTTATGCATTCCTGGTGAGCACCAATATGTAACTCCAAATTTGCTGCTCAAAATCAAAACTAAAAAAGTAAACACATTCCCTGCCATATTTAAGATTTGTTCATGACTTGTATTCATAAAGTGTTGTGTAAATGTGATAAAAAGCTGTTGATTTTTACCTCATACAGTGATAGTGAATATTTATTATGCATACAATTTATTATGCCTAACCGTGCTTTATTATCCAAGACAAAACGTGAATTATCAATATGAATATAAAACGCAAATAAAAACAAATAAATGTTATCATGCTGTTGCTACAAATGCATACCAAATAAAATTGAAAATATCATCCTCGTATATTTGAATAAAAAAGTATATACCTCGGAGTGTACCTGTCTATCGGCGAGGGGCGTCAGTGGAGCAGATTTCGTTGCTTGGTTCAGCCAAAGTAAGTACCCCAGCGTGTAACGTCTTTAGTTGTATCCGCTGACTAAGTTTGTTTGAAAAATGCCGATCCCAAAGAATAATTGCTCCGTCGAATGGCGATTTTGTCGGCATGTTTTTTCACTTTTGTTGCATGATCTGTCAGTGCCACGCATCCACGGGAGCCATAGTTAATTAAGTCACTACAATACACACAATAAGCTTTGCCTGCTACGTCTGGTTTCTTCAAAAATTGTCCAAGAGCTTCTGTAACTTCGTCGAACTTGGAACCAATTTTAACCTTTACAGTGACTTTTCTGTCAAGCTAGTCCCATCGGAATTTATTCTTGACATTTGAGTCAATTTCTAGGATTGAAGACTCCTGATCTTTCGTCAAAAATTTCATAATTCCGCTCAAAACGATCCCAGAACAATGAATTTGCGAGACGTACAGGCCGCCATGAATCAGGTAAAACAATATGTTACATGCAATTTGATTGGTCCAATCGCTTGTAGTTAACAAATCGCTGGGCCGTATATAATCGAGCTAAGACTTCCGCAACAAATAATGCCTTCAGTGATCTGATGAGTTGAAGCTTTCATACACGTCCAATCGCAGGGCTGTTTACAAACGGAAAACGGAGAGACTGTTCGGGAGAGCTCGTGAAAACTCGACGATAAGGTACCTGACCGCCCCTAAAATTTTCTCAACGGATTTAGACGATTCACAAAAATGATCAATTTAAGAAATAAAACGGCGGATTTCCGCGGATACGCGGAAAATTGCCATCTATGCCGTCTGTCATCCACACTAATTTTCCAAGGTCTTCCAGGTTTTTGGCGCTGGTGATCTCACCGGTGCGTTCTCTTTTTCAGAATGTTCCAAACGGTTGATTTTGCCAGACTGAATGTTTTTGCCATCTCTCTGATGGGTTTGTTTTGATTTTTCATGTATATCTATCTTGCTTTATTGATGGTGACATAACCTTTGCACTTCATATTAAGAGATGAGCTCACCAGATTCCAAATTAATATACCACACTTGAAAATAACTAAGCCTTTTATCTTCTGTTAAGTGAAATGATGCCAGGGAATGACACATGCCTGGCCATGGAACAGCCAAGTAGCCAATTGTCCCAATTAATTTTGGTCCCTTATTAGGGTAGAGGCACACATAAAACGTGCTGTAATTTCTACACCGTTCACCTGATTTGGATATAATAGTCTGCATTTCAAGCACACATTGTTTCATTTCAAATCCATTGTCTTGTACAGAACTGGAATGCTGAAAATTTGTGTCAATGTCCAAATATTTTTGGGCATGAATGTAGATACACATTACACTTCTCTTGCTTTTGGGATTGTCACACTTGAGAATTCCTCCACCAATAATGAAAAGAAAAGCCTTGAAAACAAATGCATATATACACTTTAAACACCCTTTATTGTTTTTTCCTAATCCATCTGTACAATCCAAGTGAAGATGAGCCTAGCAAAAAACTTCATCTGTACATTTAAAAACTTTGGGGCACAGTATTTTCAAATATCCCAATATTGACTTGTCTAGCTATTCATAAACAAAAACAAACAAAAAGTCCCACAACTTAAAAAAAAAAAAACAAAACCAATATGGGTGAGTGAAAGGTTGAGAGGCAAGATGAAGCAGAACACACCAAACAATAGCAGTAAATACCTGTTATTCCCTTTGAATTCCACTCGGGTCGGCATTATAGAAAATACAGTTTCATCTTATTTACATAGAACCAAAGTAAGTATTTAGGTGTTTTGGAAACTAATTTGCATTACAAGAGAAGCCATCTTCAGCAGTGGTCCCCAATCACCGCTCCGTTGGCCGCACAGAAAGACACATGGGGGATATCCTGCATGTTTTAGATATTTCCCTCCCCCACCACACCTGATTCAAATGATCGGTTATCAGGTTCATGCAGATCTTGCTGATGAGCTGATTGATGATCATTTGAATGAGGTGCGTTGGAATAAGGCTACATAAAAAACAGGCTGGATAGTGGCCCTCAAGGACCAGAATTTGACATGCATTCCGGTGACCAGCTGTGAGCATCAGCAAGTGAACATCAGACATGGCAGAAATGTGCGTGAGAGCAGCCAATCAGAGTCCAGCTTTTCCTTCTCTATGGAAATGGAGAGATGAAAAGTAAATGAAGCCATTGTGCAAGTCAGTCATCAAAAGCAAGCAACAACAAGCTTGTTGAATCATTTCAACAAAGAACACCCAAGTGATGATGTGGAAAGAATGATACTGCAAGAGGAGTTTGCACAGATTGCTGATGTACCAGCTACCAAATAGCTGCGCTTCCCCCATCGGGTCAAAGCTGGAATCAACTGTGTCATCGTTTCATCATGCACAACCAACCACCCCCCCCCCAACCCGAATGATTGCCGGACCGCAAAAACCCACATATTTATTTGAACCGGTTCTGTCGCGCGAA